TGTTATGAGGATCAAATGATATATTGAATATAAAATACTTTTTAAATTGTAAAGACCATCTACGCATGTATAAGAATCATTGTTATTGTGTGAATTTAAGTTGGCGTGTTATCTTTTTTAGGTGGACTTGCATTTTAAATCTGACTATGGAATGAAGTTATCATAGTTCCTCATAATAGAGATGAATTTAAAGCAAAAGGAAATGGGAACCAATAGGGGAGGTTTGTTTTCTCCCTCTCCTTTCATTACCATAGGAGCATATATCTAGATCAGAGGGACTTCAAAAGCCATCTAATTCAGTCCTCTTAATCTACTACTGAGGAAACTGATGCCCATGAAGATTAAGTGACTTGTCCAACATCACATAGACAGTAAGCGCCCAAGGAAGGATTTAAGCCCAGATGCTTTAATTTGAGAATCAACATTGTTTCCACTGTATATATTTTTAACCAGAGATCTTTTCAAGCAAATCATCATCTTCACCAGATGTTGACTGCACCTATGTCTAGGATCATACTTCCACAATTATATTTGGAAGAGTTAATTTTATGTGTGTGTGTATATATATACATACATATATATATACATATATATATATACATATATATATATATAATATTAATTATATTCAGCAGTTACATAGACAACTCCCAAAACTGGATTTTTTAAATCCTTCCTAAGTTTGCTCTAGAATATAGGATATGTGTGACTTCTAGATGACAGGATAATTTTTTTTTAAGTTATAAGAATAAGACAGGAATAGACACATCCCAGCCTGACACTAACTTGCTCTGTTTACTTGAGATAATCTTTTCTACATCTTAATTTCCTCAATTATATTTTTTAAAAGAATTAAGTATCTTAATGGTAGATTAAATGGCCACTTATGGCTCAAAAATTCTTTGATTTCACAGTTGCTTTAAAAGAATACTAGCTACTCCAAAGTTTTTAGTCTATGATTACAAAATACTTTCCAGTGACTATTCATGACAGTTTCATGTCTATGCTGTGAGTTATGTAAATATATGCTAATAATGATATCTGATATTTATATAATGCTTTATAGACATTATCTCATTTTATCCTAACCACCACCCAGTGAAGAAAGTATTTTAGGCATTATTGAATCAAATCAATAAACAAGCATTAATTAAGCACCTCTCACGTTCCAGCATTCTGGGGATACAAGAAAAAATCTCTGCTGTCGAGGTATTTATATTATAATGGGGGAGATAAGTATATAAGTATATGCACACATATACAAAATATATAATACAACACATATGTATGTGCATATATACAATATACTCATGCGTTTGTGTGTGCATATACATGTGAGATGCATACATATATATGTATATGTATGTATATGTATGTATACACATGTGTTTGTTTCTATGCATACATGCATTATATGCTCACATGTATGCACTTATGTATATGTGTGTATATGTAGTATAAACATAAGTACATTCAAAGTAAATACAAGTCGTGTGGGAGGGAGGGCACTAGCATTTGGGGGAGTCACGAAAGACTTCTTTAAGAACATGATCCTTAATTTTCAGCTTAAGGGAAGAAATGGATTTTTATGAGGTAGGAAGGAAAGCATGTCAGATGAGGAAACTGAGGCTAAATGGTTAAATGACTTGCCCACCCTCACACAGCTAGTTTGAGGTGGGATTCTAATGACTCCAACTACAACACTCAATATGTGCCATGCTCTTTTTTCTTCCTTATATCTAAACTCTCCAGGTTTATATCTAACCTCCCTGGGTTGCTGCAATGCTCAAATGACCAAATGTTTATAAAAAGCACTTTACTGACTAAAAATACCATAGAAATATCTGCTTGTGGTGTCAGTTGTTATTATAATAATGAAATAGTAGTAATTTTCACAATTGTTATTTTAACTGGGATTTGGAAATAAAATTTCTAGATATACCAATTTTTTGGTTCAGATCATTTTAAGCATTCAGCTTCAAGAATAGAAAGTAAATCTTTCAAACTTTTTCATTCAGTTTGTTCCTTGCTTATCACCCTGAAAGCACTGGCCATGAAAGATTCCAGTACAGATTTTCAGTAAATCACACGAATGTTTTCAGTAGCTTGAGCACTTTCTGAGAATTTAGTAGTCCTCCATACTTCAGGGGCCAAAGAAGTCAAGGAACCACAGGAAATCTTACAGCATAGGCAGTCTCACACCTCCATTCTATGCACTAAACTTCACTTCCTTTCATGAATATTCATAAAATTCTGCCATCCAGAATAGCAATATTTATTACAGTCTCCTAAAATACTGACATAAACTTGGCTCCCATATCTCAGCCTAGTTCTTAGCTCAGTAAATGTGTCTGTGTTATAAAAAGTCCTACTCTATTGGCCAATATATTTTTTAAAAAGATGTAAATGTGGAAAAAAGAAAGATGTAAAAAGAAAAGTAGACATAAATCTTAAACCACAGTCATTAGGGTACTCAGATAAAATATAAAAGGTAAATATATATTATGAGACATGGTAATAAGGTGGTCAGACGTTCCAGAAATTAAGCTGAAATATAAAATATAGAGATGACAAGGAATTAAATAGCATGAAACCCTAAGATACTTATTAAGCCATCAGTGGGAATCGAGATGATGATGTCACACCTTTCTAGCAGAGGAAAGATGACTTGTGCAAAGTTGGACAAGATCCAGTTTGTGCTGTAGATTTATGCAGTTAATTTCGTCCCTCGACTGCATTCAGATGAGCATTTCTCCCCGACATACACCAAGAAAATTGCTGCATTATAGCTGTGTTAATGATAATCAGCATGCTAATGAGCACCAGAAGGTCGTTATAGAAAAGAGAGGTTCGAAGATGTATAACCTAGAGGAAAAAAGAAAGTAATTCTTCAGGGAATGTGAGTGTCTTGTTTGTAGGTCATAGATTATTTGTTTTGGTCACTTGCATTGCATAGGGAGTTTAATTTAAAGAGAAAAAAAATGAAGGTTTCAGAATTGTGAGAGCAACTGGGTTTAATTAAATATGGTAACAGTGGATTTCTTTGATTCTATTGCATAACAGAACCTTCTTTGATAGACTTGGGATAATGGTAAATAGAAGAGGCCCTTATTGGAATTATATTCAGGGGTCTGCAAAATGTGATTTGTGTTTGTCTTCAGATCAGAAGGGTATTTGTATTTTTCCTCAAATCAGAAGGCACTTTGTGCTGAATTAGCAAGGGAAGAGTCAGAATGTTAGAGACAAAAGGATAATATAGAGAAATTGTCCTTATACTGCATACGTTTCAGAGTCCAAGCCCTCCTGGAAAATTTAGAAATATTTCATTGCTTACTACAGATGTTAATCTTGGCTCCAAAAGGTTAACTATTCAGTGAAACTGACAAATGAAGTCATTCTATCAACAGCACTCCAAACATAAGTTATTAAAAAGTTCAATGAGATGAATTCTATATGTCTTTATGTTGAGCTTGGTAGCTGCTACTTAAACAAAACAAACAGAAAGATTTAGACAGGTGAAGACCATCAATGCATGTGTGGTTCTGCTGAAGTCTTGGATAATATTTAAATCAGGTAAAACTAGTATTTTCAGTCTTTGTTTTATAACATGTAATATAATATATAGGATTTTGCTAATATATTCCTTGGATAGGTTTTATAACCAGAGTACCATTGTGGAATAATGAAATAAAATGAAAAATACTATTAATTTGTGTTTCCCTTGTCAGGTACCATGTGGAATTTGTCATAGTCTTCCTAAAAAATGGCTCCTTCATCTGAGAAAATAATAAAGCCCTCCAAAAACTACTAGTCTAAGGAAGTACCATGTCTTGAATATAAGATAATCGTTCCATAGTTTTTTTTAAAGCTATACTATTGCTGGTTCCTGTGAAATTAATCTGAAGGACAATCAGGAAGGCCCACTGTTCGGTGCTTTCTTCACTCCCAGAAACCATTTAGTGCAGCTTAGCTCTAAAATTCAGATTCTGGGATTTTTGTCTTGTGGACAAGTTTTGGGAATAGTCTGAACTATTGTTCTTGGATAATGTCCAGACCTTTCATCTGTAGTCTGAGTCAGGACAGAATTCCAGTCCTGGGAAAAATAAGTTGGTTTAAAGAAAAGGTTCTTAATCTTTTTTGTGTCATGGACCACTCCAGAAATCTGATAATGAATATAGACCGTTTTTAGAATAATGCTTCTAAATGCATAAAATAAAACATACGTAATTATAAGGGACATCAATTATATTTAGTTATAGTTATAAAAAATTTTTTTAAAAAAGTTCATGGATCCCAGGTTAAGGATGCCTGGTTTAAAAGCAGTTCTAAGAATTCTGGATGGTTCTACAGCATCTTTAGGACTGGCTTAGACTTGAGAATCCTCTCTATTGACTTCTTCATATCATCATCATCATCATCATCGATGAATATTATCACACCTATCATTTAGAGCAACAACAGATTTGCAAACTAATTTAATAATTTATCTCAGTTGTTGCTTAGTCATTTCAGTCCTGTGCAACTCCATGACCTCATTTGGGTTTTGACAAAGACACTGGAGTGGTTTGCCACTTCCTTCTCCAGATCATTTTACAGATGAAGAAACTGAGGCAAACTTACCCAGGGTGAAGTGACTTGCCCAGGGTCACATAGCTACTAAGTGTCTGAGGCCAGATTCGAACTCAGGAAGATGAATCCACTGCGCCACCTAGCAGTTCAGTCACTGTCTTCTAAAGGAAACCTCTCCTTCCTCCCCACCCAATCACTAGTGTCTTCCTTCCCTAACTACTTTATATTTAATACTTTGTATTAGTTCATATTTATTCTATATAAACTTACAGATGCACATGCATTTTTCCCTTAAATAGAACGTAAGCTTCTTGAGAGAATTTCATTTTTTGGTATTTGTGTCCCCAGCACCTAGTTGTGTCTGGCACATAGTCGGTACATAATAAATGTTTTCATTGGTTGATTGTTTACTCTCAAATCTATTTCTTCAGATGTGACATCTCAAGACAAGATACAGAGCTCTAACTTTCCATGGAATATATTACAAGACAGTAAAAAATAATACTGGCTCTCAGGACTACCTGGTTTCGAATCTTACCTCTATGATTTTTGGTAAGTGACATAATCTCCCTGGCCTTGGTTACCTCATCTGTAAAATTAGTTAGACTGGATGCCTCTGAGCTCCCTATGATCCTGTGATCCACACCCAGACATCCTACTGTCACTTAAACTCAGTAAGTCCAAAAAGCAAATTTGTTTTCTTTCTGCCTAAAAACCTACTTTCGTGTTGGACTTCACTATTTCTAACATTCATTCAGTGCAATAACATTCATTCATGTTTTAAACCTTAGGGATGTATGATTTACTTCTTCTTCACCTCTCATATCCAGGTACTTGCTATGCCTTGTCAATTCTGCTTGCCCCGGATCTCTCCCATTCTCCCCTTTCTCTGTGTTTCCACTCTAGTGAAGGCTCTCATTGCCACTTGCCTGGACTGCTGCAAAAAATAGCCTTTTAATGTCTTCCTATCTCCACCCTGTCTCCCTTCAAACCATTTTTGTGCCAGTGCCAGAAAAATATTTCTTACAACTTTATCTGGTCATGTCATTCCTCTATCATTTCCTATTGCCCACTAAAATAAGTTCAAGCTATTTACCTGATATTCAAGACACTCCACATTTAGGCATCACTCTCTTCTAAGCCTTATCTCAATATTACTCCTTTATGTTAATTCTAAGCTTAAGCAACCTGCATTCATCTATTTGCTGAATATACCCTATACTTTCCTGCCCACGTGCCTTTGCTCATTGCTCACGTCCCTTGAAATGTCCTCCTTCTTCTTCCAGTGTCAACTCCTCCATAAAGCCTCCCGTGGTCTCTTCTGTTGGTTAACAACCTTTATGCTCGGACCCTCACCACCTTGCCACCTTTTTCCTGGATTGTTGCAATAGTAACCTAACTAGTTTCTCTTCTCCAAAGCCTCTCTCTACTCTAATCCATTCTCCACTCAGCTGCCAGTGATTTTCCCAACATAGAAATGATCGCGCCAATCTCCTACTCAGAAACTTCCAAAATCTTCACTAGATTCCAGTTACTCTGGGTATCAAATATAAACTCCCCTAGCATTTAAATCCTTCACAGCTTGGCTCCTAGCCACCATTTCAGGCTTCTCCTATATTACTTTCCTCAAACACCTTTCTGGAATCAAATCAATTCTACTATTTCTTTTGGAAAGATTGTATCAATCAACTATTCTGTGACTGCTCAGACCAAAATTTCCTTCCCTGTCCATAACAGTCCTATATTTTTTGTTTTTCCCTATTAAAATAAGTGATTGGAAAGCAAGGACTATACTGTTTTTGTATTTGTATCCCCAAGTAAAAAAAGCTTTTCATTCATTCCTTTATTCATTCTATATGATCAGGCTGGACTTCTTGCTGTTCCTCACATACAACATGCCATTTTCTGTTTCTTGTTCCTTTGTACAGACTGTACCCCATACATTTCCTCCTCTTCACTACCTCTTAGAATCTCTAGCTTCCTTCAAATCTCAACTCAAATGTATCCCCCATCTCTGATTTCTTCCCCCTTAATTATCTTCTATTTATTTTGTATAAAGTTACATGTGTACATGTCACTTCACCTGATAGAATGTAAGCTCCTTAAGGGCAGGAAGTTTTTGTTTTTTGGGGAATTTTTTGTCTTTGTATCCCTGGTGCTTAGCACAGTGCCTAAGCACATAATAGGGGCTTAATAAATGCTTGATGATTGAATGATAGCTATGGTTAATGGTGTTCATCTTATCTCCTTAAAGGACTGTATAATCCAACAGGATATATACTTTATCTTATCTAAACTTTTCATCTTCCCAATGCTTTGTACAATAAGCCATAATCAATTTTTATTGAAATCACAACTAAAATAATTCAAGTGTCTAAGAAGAACATGAACTAACCTTTCTTCCTGGTAATCTACTAGCTTGGGGATGACTTGGATGGATCTTGTCCATGAACTCATGAGGTTATCCTGATCTGACAAAGCTGGACTAATCTAATTCTACACTATTTCCTTAAAAGTAGTACACTTTAATCAGATAATTCATCAGAAGATTGCTGAGTGACTATTATGTATACTAAATGACTGTGGGAAACATAAATATAAAATGTGGTCATTGCCTTCAAGAAATTTATAGTCTGGTAAGAAGTTAGGAAGATCGTATGTACATATGAAAAGTCAACACTATAAGGCTATAGAGAGAGAAATGGGCAGTGTTATGGCTCTATGGTCCAGCCATAATGGTCTATTTGCTGTTGTATACACAAACACTCCATCTGCCACCTTTGTGTCTTTTCATTGACTGTTCCCTGTCCCAGAATGCTCTCTCTCTTCATTGCTGCCTCCTAACATCTCTAGCTTCTGTTAAGACAGGTCAAAGACCACTGTTTGCAGGAGGCATTTCCTTTTTCCCCCAGTCCTCCCAGCTGCTAGTGCCTTCTCTTCTAAAGTTATCTTGTAACTACTCTGTAAATATCTCATATACCTATTTGGGTACACATTGGTCCTACCATTAAAATGTAAGCTCTCTGAGGGCAGGGATTGTTTTTGCTTTTTCTTTATATCCTCAGTACCTGGACACATAGCATGTGCTTGATAAATGCTTATCAATTGATTGAAGCTGAAGGGAATTTAGATGTCATCTAGTACAACCAAATCATTTTATAAATGAGGTATAAATGAGCAGACTGATGTAACTCTCCCAAGATCATAAAACCACAGACTACAGTATCTCAGAGTTGAAAGAGACATCAGAGCTATGTGTTGTTATTCACTCATTCATTTGTGCCCAACTCTTCATGACCCTGGATGGGATTTTCTTGGCAAAGATACTGGAGTGGTTTGCTATTTCTTTCTCCAGGGGATTAAGGCAAACAGAGGTTAAGTGTCTTGCCCAGGGTCACACAGTCTGAGGCCAGATTTGAACTCAGGTCTTCCTGACTCAAGGCCCAAACTCTATCCACTGAGCCACCTAGCTGCCATGGAGCCATGGAGCCCAACACATATCTAAATCAGAGACCCCTCTTTACATACCTGATAAATGGCAGTCTAGATTTTGTTTGAAGATCACTTATAAGATGGAACCAGCTACCTCCAGAGGAAGTTCATTCTGCTCATAGATCATTCTAATTATTAGGAAGTCTTTCCTTACCTCAAGCCTAAATTGCATCTTTTCAATTTGTACCCCTTATTCCTAATTCAGCTTTCTGGGGCCAAGTAGAGCATGTCTAATCCTGTCTTCCATGTGACAGCCCTACAAATAAAATCATAACATACACCATGTCTTTTCTTCTCCAGGCTAACAATTCCCATCTTCTTCAAGTGGTCATCATATAATTAGATTTTTTTAAAGGCAATTGGGGTTAAGTAACTTGCCCAGGGTCACACAGCTAGTAAGTGTCAAGTGTTTGGTCTGAATCTGGATTTGAACTCAGGTCCTCCTGACTTCAGGGCCAGTGCTCTATCCACTGTACCACCTAACTGCCCCATGTAATTTGATTTTTAAGGCCCGTCACTGTCCTCATTACCATCTTCTAAATGCTCTCCAGTTTATCAATGTCCTTCCTTAAATGTAGCCACAAGAACTGAATATTTAAGATGTATTCTGACCATCTGAGAGTACACAGGCACTCTGTGACCCTCAAAGTCAAGCTGAATATGTCAGAGCTAGGATTTGAACCCAAGTCTCCTGATACTGAATTCATTACTCTTTCCAACACAAGATGCAAGACTTTGAGTGGTTCATTTACAGATGAAGAGGTAGGGATTGGCAGAAAAAAGAGGCTTTCTACTGGGTGGGGAAATGCATGGGAGTTATTACAAGGGAGGAATCAACCTTGGGGTAGTGGTTGAAAGAGTGAGAGCTCATGCCTGTAGTGGAGATGCTGCTGAGACTCCAAACTGGTAGTACATTACTCATTGGGTTCTGACTCTCTGAATGGGCCTCACTGTGCTCTAGCCAAGCACTTTGGCTCAGTCAGAAACTAGAGAATGTGAAGATGAGAACCAAGTGGCAGATCGAAGTCTAAGACTATGCTCAAAAAGCATGTGCCAAGCCTAGGAGGCATGCCACATCCGGGGTCCTGAACGACCAGAGGTGTACGTTGCCCCTCTATACAAATGTCTCTTGTGAGGGGTCCTCACAAGTGATCTCTACACTCACTCTTCCCATTGATTTTGTGTACATTTCTAGGAGATTGTGCCCTGCATCTTGAGAAAGTGTCGTAAGTAAAACTTCTCACTGACACTCCAGTAAATTCCTTTATACTAATTGTGTCCTCTGGACACATTTTTTTTTAAAGATATAAACATGAGGTTGTGAGCTATAGTTTTAAGTGCACACCAACAGAATACCTTGTACCTGGAGTAGTCATCTTTAGGGAACCCAACCTACAAGTGCAATTTGGGGGAGATGGGCTAGCCCAGAGGAATGCATAAATAAATACCAGTCCCAGTACTGCTGTTTGATACTTGTGTGAACTTGGAAAAATCACTTAATTTCCCCGAGCATCAATTTCCTCATCTCTGAAATGAAGGGATTAGACTTAATGACCTTGAAGTCATGAACTTCAGTTTTAACCTACAAGTAATGATGAGTCTTTGAAAGTCTTTGAGCAAAGGGGAAGCAGGATGGAACTGGTGTCACAATAAGATTAATCTCTTGTTGTGTGGGATGGAAAAAAATGAGAAAAGCCTGGAGTCATGGATACCAATTAGGAGGCTATTGCAACAGTCCAGGTGTGATGAGGTAGTAGCCTGAACCAGTGAGATGGCAATCGAATTAAAAATGAAAGGGGAAATGGAAAAATGATGAAGGGAAAAATCGAAAGGCCTTAGTAACTGATTTACTAGAGGAGGCAAGGGAGAAGAATGAATCAAAGATGACTTGAACATTTCAAGTCTGAATGACTGGAAGAATGATAGCATTTTTACCAAACTTAATTTTGTTAATATGAAGACACATAAGGAGCTAAACAGAGAACAATGAAATGAGTTCAATTTTAGCTCTGTAGATATATTGACATTGATACTGATAATATTGATTGACCCGAAAGTGC